CTTCCGATTTTGACCAGGTAAATGCTTTCGGAATATTTAAGGTTTGAAATGTATTAAAGCACCCAAGTCAGGCTGACATAAAAACATGCAAGTTTTCTCAGGAGGGATTTTGAAACTGGAGCTCAATCTTAATCCAGAATATATTTCATTGGCTGTTCCAACAAATATTTATTGCAAGAGTAATGTTGCAGGGCTGATTCATAGCAAAGAAATACACAAACACAACCACCCGCAAACACACCAAACGCAGCACTTTGCTTTTTTGGTTTGTGTCCTTTTGCTGTTGGGTTATTCTGTTTTGACATTAGAATAAAAAACGAGGAGTTAAATACGTATGACGTTTGTTTGTAGTTATTCTTTATTGTTTATTTTTTTTTAAAAAAACACACACAATTTGGGAAAATATAAACACAAAAGAAAAGACCCAGGACAGCAGGCCTAAGTGCCACCAGAGCGATTTCGAAGAGGACAGCATACACACTTCCACACACACTCAACCGACTCACACTCTTGTTTTTCGGTCTCTCCCTCTTTTGTGGAAAAGAGAACATTCATCCTTCGTTACACTCTCACACTTCCCAGCTCGCAGGCAGTAGTTGTGGACACCTCTCGTGTCCGTCCCTTATTTCACCCAGCGCTATCTCGGCCTCCCCACCCCCCACTCCAAGGAGATGAGCCAGAGGTTTCTTTGGGGCAATGCTGGGGCCCAGGCCTCCACAGCAGCAGCAGCTCAGCACTCCACCCCTCCTTATGGGAGAAAAGTCCATGAAGCCTTCTTGGAAGTGGCAGCTGGGGAAAGACCAAGGAACTTCTTGAGAAAGAGGCTTGAGGGGTGGGAGAGAGAGTAAAGGCCCCCAGATCTGCCCAACCAGCATACGGTATACCCATCTGTCTTTTGGGCAGGGGTGGCCCTGAGGAGCGAGGGGACCTCCAAGTCCCTAGTTGGAAGAATGTCACTTCCAGGAATTTCTCCACTTTCTCCTGATTTCCAGCTAGCCCCCTCCGTGTTCCCCAAAGTAGAGAGTGCGATGGGAATGCCGCCGGGCCGTGGACAGAGTGGAGCGATGAGACCGCAACGTTGTGCGGGGAGTTTTCCCGGAAAAGGCAGGCGGGGAGGACGGCTGGGTGCGGTTGTCGGATGGGGTGGTGCCTTGGCGTCTCAGGAAAGGGGGCACCGTGGAGCTCTTGATGTGGATGACACGGGTGTCCATGACCTCGCAGTCAACCTGCATCATGACTTCGTAGCCCAGGGAGGAGCCGTAGAGGCTCTCTGGAGAAAAGGAAAAAAGAGATGCTGACATGCAGCCACCTTTTGGAAGGAGGGCAGCAGCAGCCCAGCCTCTCCCGAGAAGTTTTGTTTTGTTTTACCATTCATAGCCATGGCCGGCATCACCAGGGACATTTTAGGGCGAGAGGTCTTGTTGTGGCTGATGGCAGGCAGCAGCAGGTGGTCCTAAGAGAAAAGGAGACCTGTGTCAGGTCAGGCAGCGGCCCTCAACCTTTTGGGCACCAGGGACCGGTTCCAGTTCAGAGTTTTTTCTGCAGACCGGAGGGGGACATGGTTTCGTGTGCTGTCTGCATCCCACAAATGGGGCTTTACTTCTTTATGCAGACTGGTTACTGGCACACCGCGGACAGGGGGTTGGGGACCACTTAAGAAGCCAAAAAACTGATAATCAGGGCAGTATGTTTATTGATATTTGCTTGTTTACAGTTCTGCAACCCAACAAGAGAGACACAGACTTCAGATAATCAGAACTGCAGAAAAAACAATTACTGCCAACCTGCCTTCCATTAAGGACCTGTACACTGCACGAGTGAAAAAGAGGGCTGGGAAAATATCTACAGACCCCTTGCAACCTCAATATAAGTTGTTTCAACTCCTACCCTCAAAATGACGCTATAGAGCACCACTGTTCCCTCTAAGGTGTGCGCGTGCGCGGCCGCGC